CATAGCAATTGTATTAACTCAGTCTGTTTCTCTCCTGATGGAAATACATTAGCTTCTGGTAGTAATGATAAGTCTATCCGTCTATGGGATGTCAAAACACGATAATAAAAAACCAAATTATATGGTCATAGTGATTAAGTTTGGTCAGTCTGTTTCTCTCCTGATGGAAATATATTAGCTTCTGGTAGTAATGATAACTCTATCCACCTATGGGATGTGAAAACAGGATAAGAAATTAAATCCTTTGATATAAACTACAAAGATATTCTTGCATAATTTAAACTTCCCCTACAATAACATAGCAATATTTTCAAAAGTAGTATTCATCTCCTATCATATTTTTAGCCTCCAATTACATCACTACACTCCTTATATCCCAAAAGGCAATATTTCAAGCTAAAGGAGCTTTAATTCTAAAAGGAGAGTTTATAAATCAATCCGGTATAGATTTAAAGGCTTTGTTTAAATAAAAAGGAAGTTGCTTTATCGAAGATATATAAAACTTCAACTAGAAGAAAAAAGAAGATTGTATTGTATAATGAAAATCATTGAATATTATTTGTTTTCAGGATTTTTTTTTAGTAATTCCAGATTTATTCAATCTTTTATATGTTTTTTAGTTTTGTCTTAATTTTTATAAAAAATGGTTGCCTTAATGTTTCAACTATTAAAAGTGATTAGTATTAATTGTTTTACCATAGGTAAGATAGATTTAATAACAAAAATTTTAAAACAAAAAAAATATGTCGAGAATTTAAGCATTAAAGTTAATACTAGAATTAATTTGAGCTAGACTAAAGTAAAATAATAGGAGTGGATGATTTTTCATATTGAAAGTAACTTACCAATCACTTTTGATTATTATTAAAAGTATTAGATATTATAAAAAACTAAAAAACAACAAAAATAAATTTATCGTTAAAAAGTATCATATCCCTTAAAGTATTAAGATTTAAGGAGATACTTATTATATCTTCCCTAACAACCATCCAATAATCTAAATATTGGTAATCTCAAAATCTATGTGAATTCTTACATACATAAAAAGGGGCAACTTTCAACAATAATTTTCAATATCTATCTATAAAATTAATCATCTTAGTTCAACTTAACAATTAAATATATTCATTAAGAAATTACTCAAAATTGTTTTAATTAATTTAAAGGTGGTATTCTTAGACATATCCATAATGACGAGTGTTAAATATTTTAATTTTTCATCTCTAAAAATGAGATTAACCTCTTTAATATTAGAGTAATTGGATAAGAAATCTATAACTAAGAACTAAATACAAAAAGAAGAAAACCAATTATATTGATTATTGAGTACAAATATATATATGTCTATTTTCTTTATTACAAAATTATAATTATTTTACCTTTATATTATCCAATATGGTAACATTCGATAAAATGAAGTGGTGAATCAAAATCACATCATTACTAAAAAAAACCAACCTTAATGATTTATTTGTAATATTCTAGAAATAATAAGAATATCTCATTTTTGAATTCTGCTTTCCAAAATATTAGTGTAAACTAAATAGTATAAAATAATAAATACCCATAGGAGGGTTGTTTAAGAACAAGAATATATTGCCTTTTTCTAAAATTTCCTTATTACTATTATCCGAGAATAAAATTTCTAAGGCTGTTGTGACATCCCATAGGCGAACAGACTTATTATAACTAACCGATGCTAATTTATTTCCGTCAGGGGAGAAACATACTGAATAGACATATGACCATCTAATTTAGCTTTTTATTATCCTGTTTTGAGATCCCATTAGCGGATAGAGTTATCTACACTACCTGAAGCTAATGTATTTCCATCAGGAGAGAAACAGACTGATCTTACCCAATTCTTATGACCATATAATTAATATAAATCGTTTATTCTAAAATTTTTCCAATTACAATTAAATAATTAAACATCATTTAAAATAATTCGGTTGTCTATAACTTTTCTCAACTCTGTTTAAACCTTTTGAAATCCAAATCTTTTTGGTTTTAAGTTTATACTTACTATTCGTACATATCAAAAATCAACATTTTAATACAATAAATAGTGAATTTCTTAAGATATTCTTATTTTTCACCCTTTTCAAATTGAAGAAGCTAGATATCTTTGAATTTCTTTGTATCTTCAGGGGCAAACCAGTCGACATAGTTGTTACTAGTAAAAATGTCACTTCTAAAAATAACAAGAGGGTCTGACCAATATTATCTGAGTGTATTATGACTGTATAAATTTTTCTAAATATTTTCTTGATCATCAAACCCGTAATCATCTTAAAGAGATGATTCCTATACTGCTTAAAACACAGGGTTTTAAAGAGGAAAGTGAAAAATAAACAGGTATTAGTACAAAATTCCCTATTTTTGTATTACTGTCATGTAATTTCCAAATAAACTCTTCAATTTTCTTGGCTGAAGTACTTTGCCTGATCCAGTTAACCCACGAATTAGCAATACTGTTTCCCCTTCATATAAAACTCATTCACTTCTCCAACTTTATCATCAAATTAATCTAAATTCATCAAATTACTGATCTCATTTTTACCTTTCTCTTATGTATTTAATGGCACATAGATGGACTTAACATTTTATTCTGCTGCATCATTCAACACTTTCCATTTTCTAATTTCAAACAGTTATATTACCGATTTTCCTCTCAAAAATTTATATCATTTCCCATGCTATTGAGTTAATCCTTCATTTGATTTATTTTTCCCTCAACTCTTAACAAACGTTTTCTGATATGATTTAAAAAATCATTTATCAATCTGAGTTATTATCCCATATCACTGATATTTTGAATATATTCATCTAATTTCTCAGTTATTTCATCTATTTCTTACAATTATTGCTCTCTTTTGTTCACATTTATCTCTTAAGTAATTTATTTTTACAAAAATCGATTCGATTCAGCATATATTACATTTCTCCTGAAATTCTATCGTTTTGCTTTTTACAAAAATTACATTTACAAACTCATTAATTTTTCAATAAATTTCAAACTCTTTAATCTTTTTCTAAAACCCATAATTCAATTAGAGCTTTCTAACAAAATGAAATAATTGTATCTGTAAAACAATTCGATGAAATCTAAATTATTGTAAAAACAAGGCTTTATTTAATTTTCCATTCTTCATTATTTATAAAATCTTTATACTTTTGATTCAAAGCATTGAATAAACCTAATTATTATGTATTTGATTCAACTTCATCTTCTTCTTCCTCATATTCTTATAAATAAATTATTTTGATTTATTGAACTAGATTTTCTTCATTGATTACAACTTCTTGGGATACCCACTTTGACACTATTAACATTTTTTATATTTCAGCCTTCATTTTATTCAGAAAATCAAAAATATTGGTTTATTCTG